CTATCTGGGGGATGGTCATGCTGGAAACTCAGACTTGTGGGGGGGGGGAATAGGCATTTACTGAAACCTTAAAATCTGTATCCCCATAATATGCCGAAATAAAAAAAAAAAAAAAAAACTTCACCAAGAAACTAAAATCAACATTTAAAAAAACAAAAAACAAGACACTTGATCATAAGAAAGAGCCCTCCTGGGCCTAGCAACCCAAACCACAGAGTATTATTCTTTTCTATATTAGTATGGGGAGGCCAAGCTCCCTGATGCCACAGTGTAGTAACTATCAATTTTGCCTGTGAATAATGGTTCCCGATTCTGATTGGAATTCTCAGATTTCAGCCTGTTTTTCTGTCATCATTATTTTCCAATGTCTTAAAAAGCCACATTTCTCATTTTATCTTTGCCACAAGAATCTGGTCACACTCTGCTGTGGTTTCTAAGTTATAGCTACCCTAGCCTCATTTTCTTGGATGTACTTCTTTAGCGGTCCTGACCCAGTGGTGACACTTGGTCTATTCTTAGAGTAGCACCTCTAAATATTAATTTATTTTAACTACCACTGGATGAAGGACAAAATTCAGAGGTAGAGGTTACATATAACATAAAAGAAAATCCTTTAGGATTTAGTATCCTTCTTTCATGAGTGTCCAGAGAAATATGATCTACAGAGCTCACAGTCTTGCAGACATACATACAGTATAGCTCAGCCACTTGGGTTTTACAGTTTATCCAGATTTGCTGAAACAATCATGGAGTTGTTTGAAAACACCAACAACTAGGGCTAATAACACTGGTAGGAGGGCAAGCAGACCCAGAGAAGAAAATCAGCAGAGAAGTCTTCCAAAAACAATGGAGTAATTTTTCAAAGAGTTTTTTTTTTTCAAAGAGTATTTTTTTACCTGTCTGCTTGTTCACATGAAAAAAAAAGGAAAAAAAGAAAAAAGAAAAAAAAAAAGAGTATTTTTTATCGTTGTTTTAAAGTAAATCACTCATCATTAAATGTGTGAAAATCTCAAGGTCTGAACTTGAGATGGAAGTGCAGAGTTAATATATTTTTAAAAATTATGCTTCCTGCTATTTAGAGCCAACTCCAATTGTATCTCCAAAAAGGCCAATACTAAACATTTAAATGGCAATAAACTAAGTTGACCAGAGAAGACTATGTGATAAACTTGTGGAGTATAGCTCATAGGGGAGAATTCAAGAATTGTAGAAATTATATCTAGAAGAGACCTTAAAATATCACCTGGTTAGGCCGGGCGAGGTGGCTCAAGCCTGTAATCCTAGCACTCTGGGAGGCTGAAGTGGGCGGATTGCTCAAGGTCAGGAGTTTGAAACCAGCCTGAGCAAGAGCGAGACCCCATCTCTACTATAAATAGAAAGAAATTAATTGGCCAACTAATATATATAGAAAAAATTAGCCGGGCATGGTGGCGCATGCCTGTAGTCCCAGCTGCTCGGGAGGCTGAGGCAGGATTGCTTGAGCCCAAGAGTTTGAGGTTGCTGTGAGCTAGGCTGACGTCACAGCACTCACTCTAGCCTGGGCAATAAAGCGAGACTCTGTCTCAAAAAAAAAAAAAAATATATATATATCACCAGGTTAGTCTTCCAGCAATATTAGGCATTTAAGCGACTTGGAGGCAGTAGAGAACAGAAGCCTTTCTAACACTGCAGAGGAGGCTTGACTCCTGACTCTGTCACTTACTAGCTTGTGAACTTAAGCTATTTTAACCTTTCTGAGACTCAATTTCCTTATCTATAAAATAGAGATGATAATAATATAATAATAATAGTACTTACCTCAAAGAACTATAGTAGCTGAGGAAAAGTATGAGTTTAACAAAAACTGCCTTTTGTAATATATAATTATTATATTATTGTTAGCATATAAGGCTTTATTAAACCCATTTCATAGATGAGGGAATGATGCCCAGATTTCAGAAATTTGCCCAAGGTTATAGAATGAAGAGCTCCTTAGCTCTTCTACCTTTTAGGGTAGTGTTCTTTTTACTTCATTATGCTTCTCCTATAAATCAATACAAAATTGAGGCCTGAAAGAGGCATTTTCACTAGATAAATCAAATTCACAAAGTAAGATCAGGAGCTTCTATCATTCAGGTCTCCTTGCCTACCAAATACTACTAATACTACTTCCCATTCTATCATATATCCATACCTTTCAAATCTTTTTACCAAAAAATCCAAAAAGGTTTTGGGGCTTTGATGCTGGTTTACTTTTCACTTCTCAAAATAATGTGCCTCAGGCCAACTTGGCGTCTTATACTTATAGAAGTGTCAGGTATGTGCAACTCAGATACATTATAAAATTTTTAGTTTCCTGGGGACAGGAAATAGCTCACTTGGCAAGGAATGAGATTTCTATCAGCACTGTGGAAAATCTTAAGATTTACTTTCAAAAGTGTACTGATAGATAAAAGCTATCTACAAGAGTACCACTCAGCCATAAAAAAGATGAATTAATACCTTTCACAACAATCTTGATAGAACTGGAGACCATTCTCTTAAGTGAAGTATAGCAAGAATGGAAAAACAAACACCACATGTACTCACTATTGGAACTAACCAATGAGCACACAAGTGGGAAGTAAAACTCAGTGGAAACCAACCAGTGAGGAGGGGGGCTGAGGGGAGAGGACTAAGCCAACATAATGGGTACTATAAACACTATTTGCGTGACAGGTACACCTATAACCAGGACTCAAGCATTACAAAAATAATCCATGTAACCTAATATTTGTACTCCCTTAATATTTAAAAATTTTTTAAAAAGCTACCTACAATCAATAGCATTCTGAAACAGATATAAGCCTTACTTATTGTTCACTGGAGTTTACTGTTGGTTACATAGACCACTGGGTTTCACTTTTGGACTGCTAGATACTTGGTAAACAGTTTCTTAAATTACAGAATATAGAGCTTTACCAAAAAGAACCAACAACAAAGAGAGGCTAAAATAAGAAAATAATCCTTATTATAATAAGATCAAATGAGAGTGGGGGGGGCAGGGGCAATATATGTAACCCTAAAAATATTTGTACCCCCATAATATAATGAAATAAAGGGAAGAAAAAAAAATGAGAGTAGATAGTATGCAATAACTAGATTCAACAAATATTTCCCAACACCTATTACTTGTAAAGCATGATGCCAAGTACTGAGAATACAAAGATGAAGAAGGAATGATAACTCCCTCAAGGAACCAGTATTACAGAGAAAGGACTTAAAAAGGAGATGGGGGAGAGTAAATTATTAATTAAAAAAGCCAAAGAGAAGGATTACCCCCATACGAGTCATACTGCACTTAGCAAGAAGCCTCAAGAGTGCTGGTACAGATTAAATGGCCTAGAAACTCGATCCCTAGGCTTGTCAGTTCTATAAAAGCAAGCAAGGCTTTTCAGTCTCAGTCTTTATTCCCTGCCCACCTCATTTGCTTCAGCCCACACCATGAGAACAAGTAAGATTCCTTTTTCTTTCTTTCTTTCTTTTTTTAGAGACAAGATATTGCTCTGTCACCTGGGTTAGGGGGTTAGGTGCAGTGGCGCAATCATAGTGCAGTGGCGCAATCATAGTGCAATGGCGCAATCATAGCGCACTGCAGCTTCAAATTCCTGGGCCCAAGTGATCCTCCCACTTTAGCCTCCCAAATAGCTGAGACTATGGGCACATACCACAGGCACCTGGCTAATCTTTTTTTTTCAAAATTTTTTTTGTAGAGACAGAATCTTGCTAAGTTGCCCAGGCTGGTCTTAAACTCCTGGCCTCAATCAATCCTCCTGCCTCAGCCTTCCAAAGTGCTGGGATTACAAGCATAAGCCATTATATCTGGCCCCTTTTTCTACTTTGTCTTCCTTTAGAAGACTGGGATAAAAGACCAGCTCTTCTCTCAGAAAACTTGTTTCTCCAAGGAACTTACAATGCCAGTCCATAAAAAAAAAAATCTAGATTTTATTTATAAGAACTCTAGCTCAGCAAAAGAGGCAGGGAGAGTCAAGTATTCCCCCAAAAGCAACCCAAGTTTAGGGATTAGAATAGCTGTCTGATCTCCAAGGAGCCTCTGAAGAATAGAAAGAAAAAAAAAATCTATGTTCAAGGAATATGAACTTGAGTTCATAATTCATTTAAAGGGAAGCCAGTAAAAGATTACTCTTCTTTTCTCAGAATATTCCCAATAAACCAGGGAAAAAAAAGGAGAATCTAAGTTATAATAATCCATATTATATAATATAACTTATATAATATGGATTATTATATAATCCATATTATATAAATTATATGTTATATAATCCATATTATATAAATATATGATGGCATATTAGTAATAAGAATATGCTTTGTATTTCTTTAGCACATCCTTTCATGAAGATTAAGGCATTTTAAAGTGATTCTCTCATTCAGCCTAAAATAGTTCTGTGATATTACAAAAGTAGTAATTATTTTGACTTTTACACTCCCAAAGCATACTTTACAAAGAAGCATGACCCTTCAAAAATATAATCTATGAAAGATATCCTCCCTCTAGAAATACTATTAAATCATTAAGTGATTGACACCACATCCTATAGAAAGAAAACTGCAAGGGAACATCATCCTAAACAATTCCATGAGGAAAGCCAGCCATTAAAAACACAGGCCAAATGAACACCACCTAAAGAAAATCAGAAGGAATATTCTGAATAAAGGAGAAAGTTAAAATCTTTAAGAAGGACCTAAAGAAACAGATCTAATAGATCAAACAAGTAGTTGTTAACTGTAACTACTGTAAACTACTGTAAACATGACCAGTATGAGATATATAAGTGGACAAAACTAGCTGCAAAGGCATGCTCCAAAACATATTAGGCAGCCCTCAACCAACCTACCAAAAATAAGCATCCACTGCCACTACATAATCAGCATTGTCCTACTCTATTCTTCATGGACTCTGTCTGTTTCCAAGTGCCTCCTCTGGGTTCCCCCTATTAGTAAAGCATTCATGTACTTACTATTCTGTGAAGAACCTGGCAATGCCATATTGGCTAATATCCTCCTTGTTCTCTAGCAGCTGGCACACTGCATCCTCCATGTACGTGAGGACATGTCGCTGAGCTGCAAACAAAGAGCAAGAGAGAAAGAGAAAGTGAGAGAAGTTAAAACAAAAGTTCTCCCAATCCCATGAGGAGGCCATGGAAGTGAATCAAGGTGTTGGTTCTGCCCTACCGAGTGAACTAGAATAGGCAAAGAAACTTGCTGGCCCTAACTGAGCTATGGTTTCAAAGGGTAGAATGGAAGATGACGTAGAACATGGCCTACTACCATCTGACTGGCTAGTAGGATTAGCAACAACCCTGCATTCTTCATTTCAGTGACAAGGGGGGGTTGAAGAGGAGCTTTAGCACCATTTAGCAGATACACCTGAAGTTCTTTCCTTTCCACCTCCTTCCATCCTCTTTCACTTCTGCATGTCTCAGAAACTTACCCTAAAGGGTTAGTGATTCCATGCCTAAAGCATGAATGATCTGATTGTAAAGAAAACACAATTCTTTAATTTTACAAAAAGTCACTAGAAAAGTTTAAGGACCATGAGAATTTTAGTACTGATCTATATGTAAATTATTGACCTTGGTAAATAACAAGCCCATGAAATCTGTGTGGCTCCATTTATTAGACTGTGGGGCGCGGTGTCAACGCCATTACAAGTTGGCGCCTGTTTCCGGCTTTGCCTAGAGCAGCTAACAAGTTCAGCGCAGGCACAATTGTCGGTTGCCCTGTGGCGCGAGAATGCAAACAAAGGGTCCTGATATGGGCTAATGCTTTGGGGGCTCAACAGTTGAGCGGCCTATCGCAGCTTAGGGGTTGTACTTCTGGGGTATATAGTGGCCTGCGCGCTGCCGGGCTGGGTCTTCCGTATCATGTAAGTTTAAAGGGAACCCCATTAAAGCACGGTCAGAAGAACTCCTGTTGCCGCGTCTTCCTTGCTGGCGAGGCGGGCGCGACATTAGACATCATGTTTTCTGCATTTCTTGTGACTGGGAAATGTGTGAATTAATCATAGGCTTGTTATAAAAAGTGTGAGTGTTAGATCTGGGTTTGAATTATGACTCTGTCTTTGGTAGCTTAATCTTGGATAGTTACTAATCTGCACCTGTTTTCTTCTTTATCCAGTCTGGAAAGCAATACAATTTAACTCTGTTTCTCAAAGTATAGTCAATAACTCCCTGATCTGATTTACCTGGGATGCCCTGTTAAAATGCAGAATTATAGTTTTGCACTATTCCAGACTTAGTGACCTTAAATTTCTAACTGGAACCCACTGATTTTTAATAACTACCCTTGGTGTTTCTTAGGTACTCTGATGTTTAAGGATCACTGGTTAAGAACTTGGGGTTTGGACTTAGTGAGATTTGAGCTCCATTCTCACTCCTACCACTTCCTAGTTGTGCGACCTACTCTCCATGCCTACTTCCTCATCGTAAAATACGGATAATAATAGTAACTACATATGGGGTTATAAGAATTAAATACAGTAATCGGGTAAAAACACCACAGTGCCTGGGACATAGTATAAAACATACTTGATAATACATTTTCTTAAAAGCCTACCTCAGGCCGGGCGCTGTGGCTCACGCCTGTAATCCTAGCTCTTGGGAGGCCGAGGCGGGCGGATTGCTCAAGGTCAGGAGTTCAAAACCAGCCTGAGCAAGAGCGAGACCCCGTCTCTACTATAAACAGAAAGGAATTAATTGGCCAACTGATATATATATATAAAAAAAATTAGCCGGGCATGGTGGCGCATGCCTGTAGTCCCAGCTACTCGGGAGGCTGAGGCAGAAGGATCACTCGAGCCCAGGAGTTTGAGGTTGCTGTGAGCTAGGCTGACGCCACGGCACTCACTCTAGCCTGGACAACAAAGTGAGACTCTGTCTCAAAAAAAAAAAAAAAAAAAAAAGCCTACCTCAAAGGGTTATTGGGAGTTTACAGCAGTAAACAACATAAGCCAGACTTTATTTATTTATTTTTTTGACAGAGTCTGACTCTGTTACCAGGGCTAGAGTGCTATTGCTAGCTCACAGCAACCTCAAACTCCTGGGCTCAAGCAATTCTTCTGCCTCAGCCTCCCTAGTAGCTGGAACTACAGGCATGTGCCACCATGCCCGGCTAATTTTTTCTATATATTTTTAGTTGGCCAATTAATTTCTTTCTATTTTTAGTAGAGACAGGGTCTCGCTCTTGCTCAAGCTGGTTTCGAACTCCTGACCTTGAGCAATCTGCCCTCCTCGGCCTCCCAGAGTGCTAGGATTACAGGCGTGAGCCACCACAGCGGCCCAGACCTTCTTATATAGCAGGTGCTCAACAAATGCTTCTTCCTCTTCCCTGAATTTTGTCTTTAGGTATGATAATGGTATTCTGACACACATTACCTAGAAGTTTCTAATTCAGTGTTCTCATTTGCCATCCAAAAATTCAGAAAAATACTTTCCTCTGAACCAGTGAGAACAAAAAAATCCACAAGTGATGAATATCCTGCCAAAACCAATTCCATGAAGTTCTTGCCATGGTAGACATTTGCCTCTCACAGTTTGATTCCTCTGGAGGAATTACCTAACATTTATAAAAATGGGTGCTTAAAAAAAACTATTCCTGAAGTCCTGCTAGTCTAGTGAAGCTCATAAAACAAATAAGTTTATCTACTGATCTGATTCAAGAAAGTCTTCATTTGACAATAGTGACCATGTGACCTAAGGTTTCACCGCTATGCATTTGTACCAACCTAAACTCCAGATGAATGACATATTTACATTCTGTAACTTGTTCTATCTAAATGAGTGCTTCCCAAAGCTAACATCTACCAACCACTGCAAACCCTCCCACACCCTGAAAAAGATGTAAAAATAAAAACAGTGCTTCATCAACTCAACAGTTCATCCAACTGTAAAACTGTTTAAAAAACGGCCAAAACTGAGAGTGAAGCCATGAGATAATACATGCCACCCTCTAGCATTAGTTGTTTTCAAAATTCAATCATTTTAATTAAGTATATATTAAATTGAGAGGAAAAGGTAGCCAGACTAACATTAAAATCAGCTATATTTTCACTTCTCTATTCTCCTTCCTCTCTTCTACCAGCTATCCTCATCTTAAAAAAAGACTCCTTCCTTGGGCTGTATGTCTTTTATAACTTAACTCTACCTAAGGCTAGTATAGGATTTTTTTTCTTTTTGATGACAGAAATGAAAGAACTCTACTTAGAAGCAAATCCTGCTGCTTCTCCTCCCTAGCTCCAGGGACTAAAAGTTAATGTGAAAGCCCTTTATGGGGGAAATGTTTTCAGAGCAGTTAGAATCAAAGTACTTTTGTCCTCCTAGAAAAAAAAAGGAGGAATTTTCTGGAAAATAGACTTTGCACCAAAAATGCAAAAAGAAAAGAAAGAAAAACATAGGACCATACATATTTAACATTTACCTGTCAATCAGATATTTAGTTTAATATTATAAATAATAACAGCTACCATTTATGAGCACTCACGCAACTTATTAAACAATAATATGCCAGATATAGTACTGATTAATTGTTTTACATGAGTTATTTTATTCAGTCCTCACAATAATCCTATGATAATTATTCTTATACTTTTATTTTATAAATGGGAGAACTAAGACTTATAAAAAATTTAGGTAATTTGTTCAAGATTACATAGCTATTAGGAAGACAAGCCAAGATCTGAACTGAGGTTTGTCTGATATCAAAAATCTATGCTCTTAACACACTGCCTCAACATTATTAACACTATATAATCACTTATGGAAGTAAAAATTATCTTTATTTTACAAAGAGCACAAAGGCAAGAATGTATGTAGACAGTAAAATCACCTGAGAGATGTGGTCCATTTGTGTCTATGTGAATGTGTGTATATGTATGTGTGTCTGTCCTGTCTCCACCTGCATACCAGTCAGCATTTGTGCGAAGTTAGAACTTGTCCCCAAATTTCAAAAGTTTCTTACAAAGAACCACCCCACCCATTCCCAGTTCACAAAGTGGAAACAGACAGCCCTCAAGGAGCTAAGAAGAGCCAGCAGAGGTAGGGAAAAATTCCTTCCCGCTGAGAATTTCACACTAACCAACATCCAAGTGTGAAGCTCTCTTAATTGCAGCTCCCTGGTGGTTTCCTTCACCTGCAGCTTTTATCAGTCTGGTGTTCCCTCTGGTTAAGTGTACCACCCAACCCTGGAAAATCCTTACAGTTTACCAAACTTCAATGAGACAGAATTTCAAAGCTCTCGCCTGGCAATAAAACATGGAGAGTGTTGTTTTATATTATTTTTTAAATGCAAAGGAATAGGCTTTAATTTATGTGAATAATTAAAGAATAAAACAGCACACCTGCATCCCTGGAGGGCAAAGATATCTGGGCATCTTAGCTGCCCTCTTGGAAAAGGAAAAGCATTTAAGACTGACTGGCTTTTCATCTTTGGTTTTGCTGTGACTTCCACAACAAGATCAGGATTAAGTTTTCTAACATGTACCAATAAAGCCCTATTGTCCTAAAATCCACACTAATGCCTAGTCACCTATGTCATGCTCAGATAGCATCCTTGTCTGAGATAAATATTTATATTAATATAAATTCATCATGCTGTACTGAAAAATCTAAGGGAAATATAAGTAAACACTATAATGATTCTTGTATGAACCTAGCAAGTAAAGGTAATTGTGGATCAGAAACTTCTTGGTTCTACTGATTTACCCCATACTGATCACTTAATCTCTATATACCACTGTCATTCTTGCTATAAAAAGGGTATGATACTAAGAATGACATGTCTGATAATAAACTTTTGTGTTTTTTTGAGACAGGGTCTCACTCTGTCACTCAGGCTGGAGTGCAGTGGCAGGATCACAGCTCACTGCAGCCTCAAACTCCTGGGCTCAAAAGATCCTCTTGCCTCAGCCTATCCAGTAACTGAGACTACAGGCGTCCACCACCACGCCCAACCTAAACTACTTCTTTAGAAAATATTCAGTATATACAAAAGGTAACATATTAATGATTAACAAGCTACATACTGACTCTATAGAGTGAAAGAGCATGGCAATTTACTGCAATGGT